TTCCAACGTAATATTTCATTCTTCCAATTCTTCCAACACCATATCTGAACATAACTGAATATGAGGAACCACTTTTTATTTTTCTCCTGTTGGTTACTGTGGAAGTTCTGTTCAAGAAGGATGCTTCCTCCCATAAAACACCAATTGATTCCTATCTCTCCACACTGACATTCCTGACACTAGTTTTCACATGCTTCCCCAGCAGCCCTTCTGGCATAAGACATGGTTTGTCCAGGTTTCAATGCAAGCAAACAGAAAATAGCTGATCGCTACTATCTGAGTTAAAGGAGGCATTGTGGGTACTTTATTCTGTTCAACTAGCAGAAATTCAGAGGAGAAACTCAGTGACACGGTGGGACTCTCATACCTCATGGGCAATGGTTCCTGGTGCCAGCTTTCACACTAAGGCCAGTTGCATGGTAAGTGCTTGGTACAGAAACTGAAAGGCTTGGTCATGCAAACAAGCTGTCAAATTAAAATAAGAATATACCTCCCTGTTTTACACCTAAAATAAAGAAATTGAGGCAGTCTCCAGAAATTGGGCTGTTAACTACACCAGCACTTGCTCCTTCACAGTTGGCTAAAAAGTGACTTGCTCCCATGGCCACAAGGAGATGAGGGGCTCAGACTGCAAAACTTGGAGAGGTCTTTGTCATAGCAGAAGGACAAGCAGACAGGACAGGGCTGTCTTATTCTCAGGCCAGAATTCAAAGACATTCCAGCTGATGGTTTCAAAAGCTTTTGAGTCTTGACACCCACTGAGTGACTTTTTTCTGGTTATCCACTTACCTTGTGTGTATATTGCTCAAACCCAGCATCTCAACTTGAAGCTTCAAAGACATCTAAAACAATGGGCAATTTCAAGACAGACTTTGTTGAGATGTCAGTGTTTGTGCAGTCACCTCTGTAAAGCCAATACCTGAGACAAGGCTGGCAACCCAACCTATGGAGCAGGGACTCTCCCCACACCCTCCGCAGCCCCTGTTGTGATTTTCCTGTGCTCAGTTTTCATGAGGGACAAGCACTATCACTGCAGCAGCTGTCAGTAATCTCCCTCTTCTCGCAGTGAGCCCACTCCTGCCCAGGCACTACAGAAAGGTGTTTCTTTGCCTTTGCCTCCCCAGGGCAGCCTAACATCTGCACCACCAGCACTTCCTTGACAAGGAAGGGTACTGCCATCCACTTTCAGAAGCCCACTTCAAAAATTTGGAGTCAAGGTCCAGAACAGAGTCTATTCAAGGATTGCTCTTATATACAAGATGCCAGGGCAGAAAAAGGCAGCTTTCCCCTGGGCCAGGGGAGTAAGGCCAGGCAATAAGCTAGGTACTGCCTGGGGTGCTATTAATTCTGAATTCCTCTAGCTGTCTACATTTATACACCTCTACAAACCTATAAACATTTTTGTCTCAGCATGTGTATAGAGAACCCATACTTCCAACAAGTAGTTGGCTGTCTCTGATTATGCCATCTCCCAGGCATGCTATTTTGCAGACCTAGTGAATAATTGTTCTTCGTACTACTTTCCACAGCTATTTTGTGCTCCACAGCCAGAAGAGGTTCTTGGCCTCCTGTCCAAATCCCAAAAGTGGAACTTCCCAAGTGGCATGTTCTACCATCACACGAAAATAGCTGTGAAGAAGAAGCCAGAACGGAATGAGAAAATACAACCTGACACCCACAACTGCACCACAAATGTGAACCTTATACTCAAACCAGTTGCACTGTACAGGAGATACAGGCATCCACACTCCCAAAAATGCCACAGAATTTGTATTGAGGAAGCAGAGAGCATAGGGGACCATAAGATATTTTACCAGCTGACTTACTGCCAGTAAGACAGTGGCTTGCAGTAAGCACTAGACAATTTCAGAGCAATGCCTTCTCCTCTTTTTCATGAGTTTGCACAGCTGCACCAGCTGATGTAGGCACTCTGCTCTAGAGAAGCTTATGTCTTAAAGAGTGCTATACAACCACTATAAAACTGTGTGAGGAAAATCATATGCTAAATCATAATCATCTTGCTCAAGCTACTAATCATCCTCCCCATGAGTAAGAGACTTTTCACACATTTTTGATAAAGGAAAGGAAAAAAACTTAGGGATGCAACAAGCTTTCAAGAGTGAGAAGTAGGGCTCAGGATCTAAGAAAGAAAAGGAAACAAAGTACAGGGTGATGTAATGGAACTGTAGCAAGACATGAACAAGTGACTGTAAGAAACACCGACTCCAGTGACATTTGTTTGTTATCAAAGCAATTTGTCCAAGTCTCATCTCAATTTTTTCAAATAGTAGAAATGTCACTCATCCCCTGATGACTGGGTACTTGAGTAAAAAATCTGGGACATTCATATACTGTATATAACAGTGTGTAGTCCTGGGTTTGTGTGAGGGAGGATATGGTTAATTTTCTTCTCAGTAGCTGGTACAGTGCTCTGTTTTTATTTTAGCGTGAGAATAATGCTGATAAAACACTGATGTTTTAGTTTTTGCTCAGTGGTTCTTTCCCAAAGTCAATGACTGTTCAGTGTCTGCTGCTCGGGCAGTGAGCAGACACACCAGCATCTGTGAGGGCCTGACCCAGCCTGGCTGACCCAGAGGGCCATTCCACACCACAGAGTCATGCCCATGGCTGATTTTTGCTGGGCACGGGCTGGGTATCGGTCAGTGGGTGGTAAGCATAGCATTCTGCATCACTTGTCCCTCTTCAGTTTTATTCTTCTGTCTCTCCTTTCATTGCTACGACATTACAGCTATTACAGAATAGTCATTGGTGTTGCTACTGTTACTACATTTTAATTTGTTTCAGTTATTAAACTGTTCTTATCTCAACCCGAGTTTAACAGGTTTTTTCCTGATTCTTCTCTCCACTGTGGAGAGAGTAGGGCAGAGAGTGAGAGTGGTGCTTGCCAGCTGGGGTTAAACCATGACGTGTGTGTACCCACAAATATTAATATATACTTATAAAAAAAAATGCTTGGTATATGTTCAGGATTTGAATTTTTTCAGTTCAATTTTTTCTTAAAAAGGTCAGGAGGTACCAGTCTGTCAGAGATCTTTGGTTTTCTGGTCTTTTTTATTAGGAGTTAAATAAAGACAAGTGATTGCCTGGAAAAATACTTCGGATGTAAAACTGAACAATGTTAGATGCACACATTGTCAGGCAGAAAAAATATTTACGTGGGACTAATTCCAGTATCTGATATTGGTTCAGTACATAGATTGTTGAACTTTCTTTCATCTGTGATCCTAGTTTATACCAGCAGCTCATAAACCAAAACAAATCACATTTTTAAAAACAAAGGAAGTCCTGCTTAAGTTAAACTCCTTTCTAACATTTAATGTTCAACAAAGCCAAAGAAGGAAACAGTGGTGAAAGCAAGCAAATATGAATTATGAGGAATATCTCTCCATTTATTTCAGGTAAAAGCTGCTTAACTTGGTGTTACTGCTAAACAGATTCACAAGCAGATTCAGATCAAGCACGTTAAAACTCCCTCTAACGGCTACTGGATAAAGGACACACTTGGAAAAAAAAAAAACATCTCACTGTATTTGAAACCTATTTTTCACTAAGAAAATGTTGGTATGAATTATTTTGAAAAATGAAACTTAAGCCAGTTCCCAAGATTCTTTTCAATTACAACTTTTTTTACATTCCTAACATAAAGCTTTTATGAGTTTTGTAAGATGTGTTATGCAGAAATTTACACATTATGTAAAATGTGTTTTCTCTAACCTGCCTGTTGCTTTAGCAAACTGGCTTAGAAAAGCACTCTGGATTGATGATTCCTCCCATACACAAAAAGGGTCCTGGTATTCTGCAACACCACTCCCAACAGCAACACTAAACACTCAGAGAGATTACTTAGTTACAGAATCTGGAATTCACAGGCAAAATAAGCATTTAACCTATGCAGGGAGTGTAATAAAATTAGAAAAGATTACATTCTGCTCACAATACCAAGCAGAAATTGTCCCTAGAAAAACCATGAAAATAAAGAACAAACATCAACTCCTTTCAATTGGATGAGCACTGTGCACAGGATTAAAATGTTAAGGAGGAAAAGTATCTAACAGATTGCCTGTTAGCACCAGTTAGATGTGCTGGCAGCAACATATAGCGAAAAAACTTACAAAGTCACCAATTTAGAAAGCTTCAACCTCTGTCAAAATGAGATCTAGCAAAACCTTTACCCATAGCCCTAAGGCAATTTCAGTTCTCAGATAATTTTGGTTGGTTGGATAGTCTCCTTTATTTCTATCTTTATTTTCTACCCCTACACACAGACATAGGATTAAAAACTCAGAGGCCATTATTTGATTTCTCATTACCAGTAATGATTCTGAGCATAATTTTTACAGCCATAATTTTTACAACTACAAATCACAACTACAACTACAAAAAAACAAGAATCTCAGACTCTGGCTGATCAAAAGTGAAATGTTCTCAGAAGGAACGTATTCAAGGGGGTAGAAATTTGAAGTAAAGTGAATTGAACATTTAAAACAATGTAAAAACTGATTCTAAAAAGCAGACTTTTATTCAAAAACTGAACTTCAAAAAATGCTGATTTTTTATCAAAGGCTCACTAGAGCCATTCCTCTCAAAACCAATCTAGTAATTTCTCCCACTTTAGTAACAGAAGTTTTATAGAGAAATGTGGAATAGACCAGTCTTCTGTGCTAGCCTGCACCCCCCTTCAGAATAAGAAAGGCATATGGAATCTGATCCAAACCTCACTTACATAAATAAAAAGTTTTGTGAATCCACATTTGCCTACATGAACTGCTGTTACTTCTTCTCATAGCTGCTGGAGGTTCAAAGGACAAATGACTGCTTACCCCAGAAACTTAAGTAGTAAGCACATTTATAACGGCTGATAAAATAAGAAGTATATTTTGAAAGTAGAGCATATTTGCCTGCAAGATGCTAGAGACACAAGAGAGATCAGTGTATGTTTGTAAATAAACTCATTTTATTGAATGGTTTGAAGGGCTGCTTAAAATAAAAACACTTTACAGTCTGTACATGCAGTTTCAATTTTAAAAAATTAAATTTGTTGTTCAGAAAACATGCATATTTATGTACATCATTTTGAAATAAAAGAAACCACTGTCATTTACTGCAGAAATTCCTCTTTAAAAATCTTTTAAGAGATTAGGCAGTCAGGAGAAATTCTGCAGAAAGCAAAGCTTAGGAAGCTTCTCTACTCTGAAGGTAAAGTTTATTCATTCAGAGACATTAGTAACAGCAGAAGAAGGTCGTTTAAGGATGGATTCAACCGAAAATGACAGTGGCTCAGTTGTTGAAAGCTTTGTTGTGGCCTGTTTGGCCCCAAAGAAGTCTTTTGCACATTTGTCTACAGTAAACTTGTATTTTTGGTTCTCTTTAACAGCACACTCCCGGTATTTCTTAGAAGTGTCTTCAAAAGTGTCCTTCACAAATGACATTCTTAACTCTGCTGTTGGAGTGTCAGGAAATGCCTGATGGAACAGTGACTGAAAGGCACTGTACTTGAGCGGTGGCGGGGGTTTGGTACTGTTTTTGCTGATCTTGCTTAATGCCTGCTCCTGAGGAGACAGAGAACCCTTATCAGAAATCTGGGAGAAAGTCCTTTTTGGAGGAGAGAAAGCTGACCTCTCACGAGCTTCCTGATGAAGGCACAGCATTTCATTACGTGACTGCTGAATGTCTCGCGTGTGAGTCAGAACAAATGAATTTTCCAGTTTTGGAGGAATGATGTCATGCTCAGTGTTTGGACAGTCCTGACTCTGTGAGACCCTGGCATCCCAACCTGCCCCAGGTTTGAGAGCTTGGACAGCAGTAGCATTTAACAGGCATTGCTGGTAGAGGAGAGCATCACTAATGGGGCCACATTTTGGCCACACTAAGAACCTAGAAGACAGGGGATACTGCCTGTAGGTAGTAGCTACACTGACATTTGAAGAAATTAGTTCCATGTTGCTAGGTCCTGAATACTGCATCGTTAGATCAAGGCAGGTTGGTAAAAAATTTGGAAATTCCTTGTTTGGGTTATCAGCTTGAGTAGTGTTGAAGGCTGTTTTATATGAATTGTATTCAGCTCCACGCACCATACGGTTAGGGAGAAAAAGGGCAGCTGCTTGTGTAGCTTCCATCATATCTCTCTCTTTATACTCCCTCTCTAGCATAATGTTCTCCAACTCCTTATCAGCAAAAGCCCGTCTCTTTCTCATCCTGTCACTTACAGGAGGTGGCAAGGGTGAATTCCCTCCCAGGTAGGAGTCTGTTGGAATTGGACGGTAACCTAAAACAACAAAGCAGCATTAGGAATTAAGCCACATTAAAGCTGTGTTTGTAAAACAGCTCCACGAGCCAGTCCCACCAAGCACCGTGCTTTTGCCACAGACCCTGGTCACCATCAGCTCCTACAGAAGTCACCGTGACACAGAGGCTTAGTGATCAGGCACATTCAGTTCCTCAGTGCAGATAAGCAAGCCCTGCTTTTTTGACGTGTTTAGCATCCACCAAAGCTAGCTGATTAGTAGTTTTCTTAAAAAGCAGTTCCAGACAAACAGATTGAGGAGGGAGAAGGAAAAAAAAAAAAGGCAAAGCCCTACAGTGTATTATGACTGGTATTCCATCCTGAGGCTTAAGGAGAGAGATAACCATTCACTTTTAACACATATGGAAAGCATTCAAATATTTTATTTCTTGTGAACTAGAATTTCAATAAAACATAGAAATTCAGCATCCAGTGCATTCAATTACCAAGCTACCTGGCTTAATTTAATAATACAGATAGGACACAATCCTGTTTGCTCTACCCAGACAAGTAATTACACTGAATTAATGGATGTATTTACATGAGTCAGGAGAACAGGATTTTACCTGTTTTAACCCCCATTCCTCTCATACACGTTTCCCCTTTTCCAAGGAAGATACCTATATCTACAGCTGGTGTCTTTCTATTTTCTAAAGATGAATCATTATGTACACATTGCTAGAGATGGTAGAAAATCCCAAGGAGAACTAGGAGAAAAGAAAAAGACAGTTATGATAAATTAGAAGAAGAAGTACAGAAGAGTTTTCAAAAAAATGAACTGTAGATGTAAATTAGAGGTTTCTAAAGGGACTAAATATTAATTGAGCTTGAACAGACAAAGAAAAGAGCTTTTTATTCCAGAAAAAAAATTGGGAAGTACAATGATTTATAGAGATATGGTTTGGAAAGTAATTAAACCAAATATAGGAATAAATATATGCACAATCCCAAATGGGTGTGGGGGAAGAAATAGAACCTTTAACTAAAATAATGATCTTTTAAAAGACAATTCTTCCACAGTTAATATTTTCAACAGTGAAAAAAATATTTTGCAGATCTTACTTTTGATAATGTCTCAAACGGAACTGCTGTGTAGGCATTCAGATAAAACGAAAAAAATCATCTATTTACTCGTTTGCTGATTAAAACACCCGCGAATAAACTACCCTTTGAATAAATTACCCTGCACCGCAAAACGCCTCTGGGTAGCCATGTAAAAAGACTGCCAGCTTGTAACGGTAACTCTCAAATTTCAAACTACCGTTGCTAGCATTTCAGGCATTATTTTGGGCGGAAGGGACAAGGAACTGAAATTCTGCCGCATCGATTCCAGCCTCGAAGGGCCGGAGCCTCGGCCGCCCGGCGCGGGTAGCGGGGCGCGCTTTGGCGCCTGTTTCGGGGAAGGACGCTGCCTTTCCCGCCTTGGACGGGACGTGCGGGTCCTCCTGGGGCACAGCGGGGTTTCCCCCCTGTCAGCGGTGCTGCGGGAAGCCGTGGAGGGACAGGGGATGCTCTTACCTTCCAGGATGCTCTTTGCCAAGAGGCTGGGCGTTCGGACGTGCCTCTGGTAGACGGCTTTGCGCTCCAGACTTGCCTGCTTCCCCGTCAGCCCCTTCTTGTCCTAAGAGAGCAATCGGATTGATGGCTCCGTCAGACCGGCGCCGCCCGTCCCGTCCCGTCCCGTCCCGTCCCGTGTCCCCTCACCTCGGTGGCCTGCTGCCGTCGGAGCGCCACCTGGGCGGCCATGACGCGCTGCCGCTCCACCACCAGCAGGCAATTGGCGCACTGGCAGTCGCGCCAGCGGCAGAACCGCTTGTGCCCCTTCAGGCACGACACCACGCCGTGGTTGCGGCACCGGGCGCACTTGGGCGTGCGGCTCAGCTTCCGCGGTTCGCCCCGCCGCGGGGCGGCCGCCGCCTCCTCGCCTTCCTCCTCCTCCTCCTCTGCCTCCTCCGGGCCGGTGCTGCCGCGCGGAGCGCCGGGTGCCTCGTCCGGCTCCCCTTCCAGGCTCTCCACGTCGATCTCCCAGTCGGCGCCGGCGCGTTCCTCAGCCATGGCTCCTCGGCGGCGCAGCTGCAAGAGAGGGGTCAGGCCTCCAGCCCCGCGGTGGCACGGCAGCCGGAGCACGCCCGGCTTCCGAGGTGCCCGCCTGCGGCCCCGCTGAGATGCGCCCCCGTCGGGAAGTCACGGCAGAGCCCGCCTGGGATGTGATTTTTCCCCTCACCGTCAGCTCCGGTCTCCCGCGCACGACCCGCGCGGGGCTCAGCATAGACACGACGGACGCCTCCCTCTGTCCCTCCCTCCCTTCCTCCTGGCGCGGCTTGCGGAGAGCTGTGATAGCCCGCCGCAGGCAGGAGCGCGTCTCCTGCAGCCAAGATGTGGGAGGAACCTCCCCAGGGCAGTGCCCCGCGCTGCAGCGCTACGGCTCTGTCCGGCCCTAAGAGGGTCCTGCTTATTACAGGATCCCGAGAACCATGCTGCCAGCTGCGTTCAGACTTGGGACACAGGCAGAGGACAGCTGGACTTCACACATCGCAAAGGTAGTTTGAACTCCTAGAGCTCTCTGAGGAAGCTGCGTCTTCCGATCCCCACCTGCTCCCACACGACCTCCCTGTCCTTGCTTTGCACACTGCACTTACCAAAGGCAGGTGGTGCAGGAAGAACGCGTCCCTCAGCTCCTCGCAGCTCGCAAGGGCCGCTGCCCCAGACCAGTCGAGACAAGGAACTCCCGATCCCAGCACCTGAAGCTTAAGGCTCCCCGACAGCAGGGACGCCGCGCCGTCGGGGCGATGCCTGCGGTGAGGCTCTGCGGTGCGGTGCGTGGCTGTGGGTGCGCACTGGCCGCGCCGGGCCGGGGACGGTACCGAGCTGAGCCCGCCGCGCCCAAGGATGGCACCCAGCTGAGTCGGCCGGCGCCGGGGATGGCACCGAGCTAAGCCTGCCGCGCCCGAGGATGGCACCGAGCTGAGGGCACCGCACCGGGAATGGCACCAAGCTGATCTGACACCGAGCTGAGCCTGCCGGGGATGGCACCGAGCTGAGGCCGCCGCGCCGGGGATGGCACCGAGCTGAGGCGGCCGGGCCGGGCCGCGCCGATATCAGCGCCCGCCGCGCCGCCCGCGCCGCCCATTGGGCGCCCGCCCGCAGGCTCCGCCTCTGATTGGCCCGCGCGGCCTCGGCCCTGCCCCCGCCGTGCCCGCCGGCCGCTCGTGGGTGCGGGCGGGCGCGGAGCGAGGCGGAGCGATGAGGGCGGTGAGTGGTGAGCCCCCGCTGCGGGGTGCAAAAGGAGTGCGAGGGGAAAGGAAGGGAGAAAAGACGGTAGCGCTCGTAATGGGGACAGCTAAGAAACCCGCTCGGCAGGCGAGCGGCGTCCCCCTACCCGAGGAGCGGATCGGGGGCGAGGGTTTAAAAGCCTCAAACAGCCGCCACATTTTTCGTTTGCCGTCGTTCCCGTTGCTTGACCCACTAGTGAAAGGTACGCATGGCAGTGGTCTTTTTTCCAAGTCTGAAAATGCGGCGGGATCCTTTCCCTTCGGGAATTAAGGCGAGGAAAATTACTCTATTTTCTACCGTTCACTCCCTTCAGAGGGAGCGTTTTCCACGGACCACTAAGGTTTTTCTCCTAAATAACTTTATTTCCCATGAGTAACTTTATTCCCTTTGGAATATTCCCTCCCTGACGGAGGCTGATCTTTGTGAGCTGGGTAATGTCCTTTGTCTTCCCAATCAGAGAGCGATCGAAATTGTGACCCACAAAATCTCAGTCGCGAAGCGGGGAGGCTAGAGTTCCGTGCTTCCGCCGGTGAAAACGGGAATTCCGTTCCCGAAAGAAGCAGAAATGGACAGAATACACCTCGGTCGCGTTCAGCACCGAGCAGGCCAAATACTGGTTTATTTAAAAATTAAACTGATTTTGCCAAGGAAGAAAAATAATAAAGTTATGCAGGAGAACATTAGTTTCCCACTGGTGTGTACTGATCGAAATCTAACTATATGCAGAACACATGGCCGAAACTAGTTTCCTAAAAAGGGAAAATATTTTGCTCTTTCCCTGAGAAGCGCGCGTGTGTAATAAATACTGACAGTATTCATGTATATAATAAAGACGGGCGTCTGCTCGCGGTAAGCGCACGGACCAGCTGCCGGCCGCCGGTTCGGCACGGACAAGCGCTGTCCTTGCAGGCCTGCGGGACAAAGGCCGCCGGGCGGGCAGCGCAGGCGGGCAGCTGCGTGGGCCGGGGCTCCGGGCTCCGCTGCCGCCCGGACAGGGCACCAACGCCTCGGTTCGCCCCGCGGGCTGCGGGCACCCTCCAGGAAGGAGGGAGGGTTTGTTCCCCTGGAGGTTTGTGCTCCCCGGGCGGCACCGTCGGGAGAGCGGGAGCGCATCCCCCGACGGCAGGTATTATTCATCTCTAAAGAAAGCCCGGCTACTGTTTGACTTACAAGCATGACTAAAAGGCAAATACCCAAGGAATTCCACTTTCCCCCTTGGGGTCCCTCTTAAAAGGCACAAGCATGACAAAGGACCTGCTAGGTTAGGAAACAGAAGTCGCCTTTGTCTGTAAACCGACACCAAATTACAAAGTACGATTCTGCGGTCCGCTGGAGTAAATTACAAAACAGTTCGCCTCCTGTTTACTTTATCCACAGGGAGCTGTGAAACCCAGCCACGATTTTAAAGCGTGTTTGTACAACTTTCTTCTGCTCCTGTTGTTTGCGCTCGGCTCCGCAGCGCTTTTGAGCTCCCCTCCAGCCGCTCCTCTCTCTCCCGTCGGGAAGAAGAAGCGTCTCTGCCGTCCTCCGGAGGGACGCACCCTCGGGAGAAGGCGGAAAGCGACCTAAGACACTGCCTGTCCTACTCAGTCCTCCGATTTGGTCAGTGGTGTTAGCCGTACCCGCTGTGGCCTGACACGGGCAGCCGCGGCGCCGTGCCGTGCTGGGAAAGGTGCAGATTTCCGCGCCACGGGAGCCTCTGAAGCCCGCGATGTGCAGCCGTGCATCCACCTGCCCCGCACAGCCTTCCCAGCACAATGTCGGCCGCTG